ACTTACCCCCCTGTGCCAACTCCCAGCCCCGTAGCTCAATCTTTGCAAAAAATCGATAAAATCGATATCGATCGATGACGAAAAGTAGCCTATGACACCCGCCGGGGTCCGAAGTGTATGTGTGCCAAGTTTGGTCCCGATCGGTTCAGAAATGGAATTTTCTATTCGGAACATACGTACACACAGACATACATACATACATACATACATACATACATACATACATACATACATACAGACAAACGACATTCAGCTTTATATATAAGATTAGCTTGCTCCACCTAGCTCCATCAAGAATACCATTCGAAAGCTGAGATCATGGAGAATCGATGTAGACCGTCGACTTTTTTCTAGGTCTTCTGGTCGCGAGATATGAGGGATTTTGTGTTCTTTAAAAATCAACTGATTTTGTGTCCTCACTTACCGTCGCAATATACCCAAAAGTCTAGCTTTGAACAAAGAAGTGTTGATTATATCACTAAAATAAGATTGATTAATTTTTATGGAACTGTAACGCTCAGGGACGTATTTATTAACGCTCGGAAAGGGTTTGTGCTTTTGTAGACGCTTTTTTTATAAATAAATAATATGAATAAACATAAATACCATTTCTTTTGTAAACTTATGAGTGTACTAGTTGTTTGAGGTACTTAGTCTGTAAACCCTTCAATAATGACCTTTATTTTATATTCTCAGAGTACAAAACCAATCTCAGCCCAGGTGAAGGGGATCATCCGGAGTTTGGCCTCAAAGTGAAGGGGGTAAGATCTATCACTCCCCCTATCGCAACTATGCTTACGACCCCCCGTTGTGGCGTGCCACATACCCCCGCTTTACCCTGGACGTGAGTTGTCATTACTGCCTTATCGATCCCATTCCTGCAAAAACCAAAAATTTCCTTTTTCAACAGGTTCGCCGGTTGGGCGCGCCAATTCAAACCTGCACCAAAATAAACGAAAGACTTGTTTACACGAAGAGAAAATGAAGTGACACCAAAATTAGTGGTAGATGGGCACTAGAGAGTTAGGACTGTGTATGAAGAATTAGAAAAAATTATGTGAACTAAAGGCGTGGCAAACTTTTTTTGGTGTTAGGTGGCTTTCCAGCCGCCTGGACAGCCACCTGAGGTGGCTGTAAAAAGAAAAAGTCATAAATTTTCCTTTCTTCACATAATTTTCTCACGTGTTCAACATAGCTTTGTTCTACATACCCTACAACTAAGTTTTTGAATCTTGCTAAATCCCCTCTTTCTCGCCTAGTTACAGCTCTCTAAATATTTTGTATGGCGGCGGCAAGCCTGCTCCAAGCGCGCAAAGGTGCGCATCGGACACAGCATGCCACCAATTTGGAGAATACAAACATCTTTAGTCCTTTTTCGTCCTTTCGGTATTGTTTTAAGGTTTTGTTTCATTGATTTTCGTTATTCGTTTTGATCCATTTAGAATCGCGTCATAGGTGATGTCGTATGTTTGTGGCGAAGTCTAAGGGACATCGTTTTTATAGAACTGAAAAAGCCACCTCATGCCGAGCTATGATCGAAAATCTCGAAAACCACTGATGTAGCTAAACAGCTAGATTTGCTCACGGACCTAATTTACCTTCAACGATGCAACGAGGATTTCGAATCGGCTATAGAGTCATACAAGAAAGGCAAGCCATGTTCTAGTTCTCTTTGTGGAGTGATTCATCTCCGTATTTAGCTGCTCAACTTGCCACTGCTCGTAGCAACCATCGATCTCTCCTGTGTGTACCGAGCTTTGGCAGAGATCAGCGCGGAAGAAGGTTGGTTAGGAATTCTAGGATGGGAAGAATCGCAAGGTGTTTGTAGACGAGCGTAAGCAAGCGTTGGAGTTTGCTGGCCTATCTCGCAAACTGCCCAAATGAGTGGAAACTGTTCTCACATTCAGCTAACCTTTCATGTTTCTGGTTGGAACTACGAAGGTAGGTGCCAGACTAAGCGACTGTTTTGTTCAGCTGCAGAAGGCGCGCAGAATTAACATTAATTTTGCGCGGACCTGCAGCTGAAGCAGGCAATCGAGCAGAATTTATGCTAATTCTGCGCACCTTCTGCAGCTGAACAAAACAGTCGCTCAGTCTGGCGCCTATCAAACTAGCCATGCAGCAATCACAAAACATGACTGATCTTGAAGAAGTGAGTTGGTGTTTTTGGACATCAAATCACCTCCGTTCATTCTTTTAGGCTTTATCTTGGTGTCTGAAAAGTATGACTATATCAAGAAAGTTGGCCATAGGATGATTGATTGCGATAGAAAGGTAGTGAGGGTTGCTGGAGGCTCTACAAGAAGAAAGGCCGACTGGTTGGTTTTGATTGCTTTTGCGAGCATCGAGAAGATAGGTTACAAAGGAAAAGTTGTGCCCCTGTATATGCGCAAATCTTCAACTTCGATTTGAAACCGAAAAGTATTGGAATACGGCATACGCCTATGCCAAGTAAATCTGTAGCTCTGTTTGCGACACTATACATTCTTGCTCCAATTCTATTTCTTATACACTATATTTACCTTTTGTCTTTTTGAGAACTCATGACTTTTGAATCTAGAAGGAACCAAAATGCCGAGCTCGAATATCGCTTCTAACGGCCCGCATAGACTTCCCCTGGGAATCACCATTAAAGAGTGCGGAAAGATTAGTCAACTTTGCTCCTTCGAAGAAGAAAGGCCAAGCAACCATGGTTTGGCACAGGTATACAGCACAATTCATCTGCGCGTAATAAGCACCTATCTTAGGCCCGTATGCACGTACATCCCCGCTGGGGAGGGGAGGGGATCTGAGAGGGGATGCGTCATATCTCGTTACTCTAGGGGCCGCATGCACTAACCTCCCCGCTGGGGAGGGGATCGCAGCTTAAAAGAAAGCTTTATATTTCGAAACTCCAGATACCTGGATTTCACGCTGTGTACCTATCCGTAAGTACTCCTGTTACCCTTCACTATGAACAGGAGCGAGAAGCTAATTAATCACATTTTCCAGCTTTAGTAAGATCCCTGATGATCCCCGGCGCTTTTCTTTAAAGTCATTTTTCTTTCTCCATAGTTAACGAAAACCTTCCAAAGTTGTGCTGAACATCTAACACAACAGTGCTAAGCATGTTGCTGATGAGAACAAATGAGTTTTTGAGAAGTCGAATTTTCGGTAAACCTCAAATTTCGACCTGTGGATCATCGAAAATTTCATGACTTCAAAACATCATTTGCTCTTATCAGCAACATGCTTAGCAATGTCGGGTTAGATAATCTGCACAACTTTGGAGGTTTTTCGTTAACTTCGGAGAAAGAAAAATGACTTTAAAGAAAAGCGCCGGGGATCATCAGGGATCATACAAAAGCTGGAAAATGCGGTTCGTACGGCTTCTCGCTCCTGTTCAACATGTTCATAGTGAAGGGTAACAGGAGTACTTACGGATAGGTACACAACGTGAAATCCAGGTATCTGGAGTTTCGAAATATAAAACTTTCTTTTAAACTGCGATCCCCTCCACGCGGGGATGTTAGTGCATGCGGCCCTAGGTGTCTTTCTTCTCCTTTCTCCATCTTGCTTATAAAGTTTTTCATACAATCATACCTGCGCATAATGGATGCCAGGTTGCTTCCATACAAGTTTGGTTTTTTGCCATTTTGTATGATCCCCAGGGGATCCCCGGGAGATCCCCTGAGGATCACCTCTCGTTTTCAAAGAGATTCATTTAACTGAGCAGTCAATGAAAATGCTGTAAAATTGTACTCAGGATATACTACGGCACTGCTTAGCATGTTTTGACAGGAGAAATGGAATCTGAAGATTGTGAATTTTTCGATGGTCCCTAGCTCGCGAGTCAGGGATTACCGAAGATTTCGATTTCCTGAGATTTCACTAATTTCTACTGCAAACATCTTTAGCATTGCCATAGTATATCGACAGTACAATTTTACAGCGTTTTTGAGATTTCAGGAAGATAAATGGCATAATTGAGAGGTGATCCCCTGGGGATCCCCAGGGGATCACACAAAATAGTGAAAATCTATTCAATTCAGCCAGCAACCTGCCATCTGTTATGCGCAGGTATTAAGGTATGAGAACCTTCATAAGCAAGATAGAAAAGAAGAAGAAAGATACGTAGAGTAGCGAGATGTGGCGCATCCCCTCTCAGATCCCCTCCCCTCCCCAGCGGAATATACGTGCATACGGGCCTTAGGTTTTGACATTTGTTGGTGATTTTTTAGCTGCGTAGAACGCTCTTCTTGAGCTGCTACATCACAAATCCTCACTGGTGCTTGATGATGCAGAGCTTCTTGAATCTAGACTAAATCTTCGTAAGTGCCGAGTACCGTTTTCGTTTCTTTTCTCTTATACTCATTTTTTTCAGTGTATAAAGTACTCTAGCAGACTGAACCGATCAAAAGATCTTAGCTGTTCAAAGGCTGAACGATGGAAGATGTACGAACTGATCGCTGGCTCGTTTTGCTCATAGGGGTAAATGCCAAGTATCAATAGAGGTGACAGGAAGGAATTGTTGAAGCATGCTGTGAAATACTACAAGCTGATGTTCCAGTAAGTATACAGCTTCATTTATGTTCAAGATGTTCGTTATAGTGACATGAGAACACGAATGTAAAAATTGTCTGTTTGATGAGAGCTATAGGAAACCTACGCTAATTTTAATCTCCATCTTTACGCATCCATGCACATGACATAATTTGAGTCATTTTTGCGTGACACAGAGCAGTGATTTTTTATCTCTTGGTTTATATCTGTCTTTGTACGAAATCTTTTTATAGAAGCGGCGTCACCGATAGAGAGAAGTGCACTGCTGCAATTTTTATAGCGCAAACATTTATGGACCTTGAGCATTTGATGAATAGCGGGATTGGTCTGGAAAAGTATTTGAATTTGAGACAGAGACTGAAAAACTGATGCAAAGGTTTGCTTGAATTTTTGCGAGAACTGATTGACTGCACATGTGGATCTTGCTGTGCCAAGCGAAAGCGCTGCTTTGAGGCCACATGTCGTCAGAAATTCCCCTCCAAGCTAAATCTTTTGAAGGAATTTGGTCAACTCAACTCTCAGATACCGAAAGGGTGTCCTTCGCTCAAAGTAGGATTCTTATTTATTTTTAGATTTTGCAGATCTGCAAAACCAATCTCAGGCATCAAGGCGGCTTTAAGTCGAGCCATGGGTCAGTTTCCCATACAAAGAGATGATCGGGCAGAAGCATCCGTGTATCTTTCGAAGACAGATACGCTTCGAGATGAAGTTGATGTCAAGGGAAGTGAAGAAGAGGAGAATGAGGAAACCACGGACGAACTGGATGCGAGACTGAACAAAGCAATAATGAGAGAATCTTCGAATATGCATGTTTCACCCAATAGAATTTCATAAGTAAAAATTTATTTTTTCTATACAATGTATTAAATATGTCTGGTTTGAAATGAATGTCTCGTCTTGTCTTTATTCTTCTATCTTGCTATCTACAAACGCTGGAGATGAGAGGGAGGGGGTAGAAAACGGGGTGGAGGGTCGTGCTGAATTTCTACACGGGAGGGGAGGGGGGGGGGGGGTCGTATCCGGCGGTCGTATGCTACATTTGCCCGACTCTGGTCTAGAGCTAATTTGAGTGGGGTTTAGAGGCATAATTGGGGTTTGGAGCTCAAATGGTCAAGTTACAGTATGCCTAAGGGCTAGTAACAATATGCCACGGGGACATCCGGAGCACAAAATGGGAAGGTTCGGAGAACGAGCGGCGAACCTCCGCCGAGGAGACCCCGGCCACCCCCTGTCTTGCCCTCCGGAGGTATCCTATCGACTATCTGAGTTTGATCAACGATATCCATTGATCGAAACTGTGGCAATTCATGCGCTAATTTCGGCTTAAAGGCAGCGTCCAGGCAGATCCGAGCTCGACGACCACGCCCACTTCCCTCGGACGGCCAACCCCTTATGAACGAAATCTCCTCAGCCTTGACGTGTTTTCACATGACCAACACAGTCGAACTTACAGCGTTTACCTGTTAATACTTGCTTTCAACAAGGATAACATCAGAAGCACTCCTCCGGGTTTTCCCAAAATAGCTCCAAAAAGTGGTTTTCTGAGAAATTCACGCTTTTTGAGTTCCATATGCTGAATCAGCGCCATGGAAAGGCCTGGATAACATAAAAATATAGAAGTCGAGAATCTGCCTGGACGCTGCCTTTAATGAAGCCGGACTAGCAATTTCCAAACTCATTGCTGCAATCAGTACTCAGACACTCGCACTATCTGGCTACCGTTCGACGGCCGGCTGGTCCGTTACCGACATTTCGGCCGGAACGGTCGCCAGGCTGCCGCCGGCCGGTACTCGAACAGCCGCCGCCCGGTATGGGCGGCGGTGGCGCAACGGAATGGCACTGGGCCACAGCATTTCTTTCTCTACATTCTAGCTTTCGTTCAATACTGTAATTGCAAAACAGAATTGTACGAATTCACATCAACGTATTTATTATAACCACAACACAATGCTAAGAATTACTGACAAAGAATGTTTCATAAGATTCATGAAAAACACATTTGACTACAGAGCTAGTAACGCCTTATCATGACCATTTACGCAACAAGTTCACATATCGTTGGACAACCCTTTGAATTGCGTCGGTAAATCGAGAATGTTCTTTACGGAGTTCTGAATGCCACACATGAGCAACAATGCTGTGTTCGATAACCTGTAAATGAAACGAACTAATGACAATATTCAACCGACACAGAACTTACATGCTAGCACAGAGTTGCGATAATTTTTGCTATCAGAGCAGTACCGACAACATAAGCATTACAGTTGAATAGATGATTATCAGTCACTGCAAAACACCGCATGCTAGATTTAATGATATTCAAGAATAACTTACATCATTGGAATGCGTCCAGCAGCCGGGACCGTAAATCATCAGAAATGCAGTAGATTAGATAACTGCCGACGCAATATATTGAGCACACAGCAGCAACCAACGGATCGACGATCCCTAGATGAATTAGAATCAACAGCAGAGCAGGAATAGTCCAGAAATCGAAGCACAGAGAATATATGATGGAGTATCTATTCGAAGCCATATTCGATTCACGAATATAACAGTGTTAACTAACAGCATTCAACCATTCACTGCAGTTCCATCAGAAAAGCAGGAACCCAAACACAATGCATATTGCAGCTGTCTTCTGAAAAGTGAACATTTAGTTTGTACTTTTTTAGTTGAATCCAAAAAGGGGACACATAGAACACGTCACAGCAAGTTGCATTTAAATTCACTGACGTTCTGCTTCTTCGCCATTCAAGTCAAAAAGAGCAGGAAAATAGGAGGGCGATACACCAAGAAATTCGTTCAAATCTGAAAAAGAGTGGAATGAGTGGAATTTAAAGTGGGCTACATCAACTAGCAAACTCCGATCCCATACGTTCCAAATGACCGCAAGGCATACCATCTTTCCAGGGCAGATACACATATGATCGGCTCCCAGATTCGTGTGGAGATATATTGCAGACTTTGCCTGATAAGATAGAACTCGACGTAACCAAAATGAAAGCGCAACAATAACAAAGGAGAAATAATAAAGAGAAGCCTTCTGCTTACCTGCTTAAAGGCACCGTCCACCCTAAATTGAGGGTGTTCAACTTTTGACAGCATATAACAGTAGGACCTCCAGTCAAGCCAACGCCCAAGTCGCGGCACAAAATGCCGCTTCGGAAGCGAGAAAATCGCTTCGAAATAGCGAAGACGCACGAGGACTCCTATCCATGCCCGCCCCTCCCTATCCATGCCCGCCCAATTGTGGGCGCTCATTCAATCAACGTCCTGGAAAGCCGACCTGTGGTTTCTCCGGAATGGGGATTTTCACGGATTTTCGACTTCATATTTGGAATCAGGGACATGAGAGGGTTCTGAAACGACAAAAATGAAAGTTGAGAATCTGGGTGGACGGTGCCTTTAAGATACATGCATCCCCCGATCATCGAATTTATTTTCTTACTGTACACGCAATCTTGTGCGCTTCCCGAGCACAGTGGAACGTCCGCGCCGGCAATTTACTCGCACGGTCGTCAGCCGGCACCGCCCAAAATGATGGAACGTCGGCTGGTCGCCGGCCGGTGCGAGTGTCTGAGTACAGTAACCACAATCGTATGAAATTGCGACCCTTTAACGAAAGTGTATACTCTTGAACGGCATACCATTCTCCTGCCAGCGTACGAGCGGCGTACGACTGTCCTACCAGCGGCGTTTGCGTGTTTCAGATGAGCATTGAACGCCGCTACGCAACGAAAGTCAGAGTTTAAGCGACTATCGCTATTGACCGCTGCCTTCACAGACCACGCGTCTTTTATGCCTAAGGCATACCTCCCGCGATTTCGCGAAGTCGCTACCTTTACGCGACGCGATTTGCCAGATGTCTACAGATTAATTATTCGCGGGTTTTGAATGCGGCGCGTAGATTCCGTAGGTTGGAGCAAACGGAGCAAGTTTGACTCCAGCAAAAGAGCGCTTACGACGAGTTGAAAGCTATTGTTGCAAAGCCAGATCGCGCAGCGACTGGAATCGCTTGAGGTATGCCTTATTGCTAGCCTTACACACCTTGGGACCAGTACCCTCAAAGGCAGCGCTTAGAGGAGGTGTTTGTTTCTCCGAACTAGAAGTTACTATTCTTACTCGCCTTGCCAATCTCTAGTAGCTCCTCAGGCATAAGAAATTTGCCGAACGATACCCTGAAAGGCCTGATTGAGATGGTCTCTGAGACCGAGCTATGAGACTGTCTTGGAGACTGCCTATCACGTCAAAAGCGATTTCAAATTCGTCGAAACTCGAGAAATTTTTCATACTTGAACGCTCGCAACTCCTTCTAGGTAGTTGCTAGGCAGATAATAAGCATATAACTGTGATCAGCGTTTCAAGACGAATTCGATGATATACAGCTTGCTTGGAATGGCAGGGTTAATTTTTGACCATTTCCTCGTTAGCATTTTTGTGTTAAACCCACCACATCTACGTTCTAGACAGGGTTAGAGAATAATTAATTTCAAAGTATTTCCAGCGATCCCAGATTTACGTGTGAACAACACTGGTCCACCTGACTATGAAAGCAATTTGAAATCGCCTTTAGACGTGATAGGCAGTCTCAAAGACAGTCTCACAGCTCGGTCTCAGTCAGGGACCATCTAATCAGGCCTTTCACCGCTTCAAGGTATCGTTCGGCAAAATTCTAATGCCTCTTTCGAACAAATGTAATTCTAACGAAATCCATCGAGTGGCAAGGAAGTCATGGTTAATGAAAAATGTTGCGCAAGAACTTTCGGACCAACCTAATATATATATTAGATCGTTCCAAAAGTAACTTCGCTTTTTTCAAACGGGCGGCATTTGAGGCAGCATTTCATTCCCATTCTAAAGGTTATGAAATTGTTGCAACACAGTCAATGAGCTTTAAGAAAACAACCAAAATCTCGACCTATGCTTTACGAGATAGTCAAGTTTCACATTTTCAAAAACTTTTATATCAACCCTTCGAAAAAGTGCAAGTAACGTCTTCATAGAGCAAACCCTACAGAATGTAAAACTACTTTTTACTCCTTTCCATAGCTTCGCATACATTTTTAACAGAATTTTAGATGCTACCGATTTCCATATTGGGCAGCGAAATCCTCGTAAAACATTAAAGGAAGAGTAGCTCGGGCACTATTCGACGCTGCATTTTCTCCTCTTTTGTCTCCGATTCGTTTAGTTTTTGGGATAAAATCACCATAACTCATTTTTTTAGCGAGCCCCAGTTTAAACCCGAAAAACTCGAAATTTGATATCTCGAGCCCGTAAACCCTCACTTGCTTTGTAAAATTAGTGCTTACTCATAATACCATCTTGGTAGTCTCAAATTCCAATATTTATGATGTTTGATGCGATTGTGGCTGATTTAGGCGGGAGACGGTCAAGAGGCGTGATTTCTCTGGCTGTCACCAACTTAAAACTCCAGTTTAGTGCTATGCGATTCTTCAAAAAATTACCGGATGAAGTGCATTAGCTTACTATCTGTTTGAGGTCACCACTTGCTGAGTTTCATGGTTTTTGCTATAAATCGGCCTGAAATATTTACGAATTTGTTCTGAAATGCATTTTCATGAATTTTTGACCTTCAAAACTGCTCTTTTGAATTTTTTCTAGAGTATCAAGATTGAACAACTCATGCAACTATCAAATATATCTTCTTCTAGATTTCATTTACTTTTAAAAAGTTGCAAAACACTTATTATTTGCTATTTGGTGTCCAGCTGGCAATAGAAATCGCGCCTCTTGACATACACCCGATTTAGGCCTGCCAAAACTCGATGGTTTTGTCAAAAAAATCTTTTGAGAAGTTACGGCAAGCT